CTTTTTTCTTTTTCTTCTTTTCTTATAGTAAATACCCTGTATATAAATGATTGCAAATGGAATGTGAAAATTGAATAAAATAAAAAGAAAGTGAAAAAAAAAAAAAATAGAATCGTCAACATGATTGCCAAGGTCTGATGATGGATGTGGCATATGTAGAAGAATTGAAATTTTCCGTCATCCAGGTCATGGTTGTCCCAAAGGTGCTTTTTAAAGAGGCAACTGGACTTTCTTTGAAGACGTTGAGAAAAATCCCAAGAAGCTTCTTCAGCTCTGACTTGGATGGAGGGGGATGGAAGGATTGCATCCAGTCAGAGCTGAAGGAGCTTCTTGGATAAGAAGTGAAACACCTTCAAAAAAACCCCCCAGAAAATCCAGCTGCCTCTTGAAAAAGAGACCCGAATTTTTATCCCCTCCTTGTCAGTCAACAATTCCTCTGCCCAACTTGTGAGTGTTGATCAAAGCAGGAAGACAGCAGGCCCTTCATCATCTTCTCTGCCAGCTGGAACGCTCCATTCTCCCGCCATTCTCCCTAGTAAAAAATGTGCATTTACATATTGCAAAAAAAAAAAAAAGATATTGAAATAAAAGCAATTTCTGGGTTATGCCTGGAAGCTCACAAAAACAGCTCGGAAATCCCTCCTGCAAAGTTGGGAAACCGCGGCTTGGTGAGATGCCGTTTAATGGGGCACACTTGGGACTGTCGAAATAGGCTGTGGTTCCTTTTAAACTGGCTGCTTTAACGGGCGCCTGTGAGCCCACATATCCAATAACGAGGTTGGCGATTTTATTTCACCAGGCGGATGATGGGTCTCCATGGAGTCCTAAGAGTAACTTGGAAATTTAGGCGTTGGCTGATACTTTGCTTCTCTCGGCATGCCCGCTTCTTCTTAAAAATTGAGAGGGAAAAAGAAACTGAGGCAGGGGCGAATTGGATCCCAATAGAGCTCAGTGGTATCACGGCATAATTTCCCTGGGGTGAAATTGAGCTAATTGGACCGTCCGTGCGTTTTCAAGTTTAAAACAGCTTTCCACGCTGCCAAATGGAGGCGAGTCAGTTTACTCTGGAGAGAAAGGTGCAATTTTCCTTGAATAGTCTCTCCGAAGAGTTTCAGGCAAAATATTGCCGGAAAGAAAAACCAGTTGTGCTGAATCTTTGAGCAATACGTGCAAAGTCTTAAGAGCATCGGCAATTTGTTATAGAAAGAAGAGCTGAATTGGGAAAGAGGCATCTTTGTTTCCCTTCTTTTAATTAACGTTAGTCTACGTAGGCCAGTTACAAAGGCCCAGCAAATTCTGTTTTGCTTCGGTTTATTGAACGTATCCTGCATTATTAAAAGGTTAGGCGCATTAAAAATTATCAGCGTAGTACAGTAATGGTATCCTATTATCTTCACTACCGGTTCGGTAGGAGTGCGCATGCAGAAGGTACCTGACGACGTCTGGGTGGGTGGGCGGAGCCTTGTGCTGCCGCCACTATCGGTTTGCCCAAACCATACCACCTCTGGCGTAGTAACTAAAGCAAATGACATCCCATTGGAGTAGATGTAGAGCATATGGGTTACTCCTGGATTATTCTACTGTTGTAGCCCACTAGTGGCCAGCAGAGCTGAAAGCAGATTCGGACAGTGAGGAGGTTGGGGTGGAACATGGGCCAGTCTGGAGTCTGGGGAAGGCTCTGAGGAGGGCTCTGTGTTGGAGGCAGAGAGGGGGCCATGCTGCCTAGGGAATTCTGGGAGTTATTTACTGCCTCTGGAGCCTCCGGAGTCTGACATCAGCGAGGCAGAAGATCAACAGGAGAAAGTCTCTGGAGCCTGGGGAGGGTGAAAAAACCGTGCCAAAAGCGAGGAGGGGGTTGTTGCTGGTCACGCATGCATTTGCGTGGGGGTGGGTGGATGGCACGCATAGCATTATGGGCATGGCATGCTCGCGCATGACCCCCCTGCACTCCTCCCCGCTTTTGGCATTACTGCCTTAGGACATCGGTGTCCAAAGTTGGGAACTTTAAGATTTTAAGCCAGCATGGGGAATTCTGGGAACTGAAGTCCACAAGTGTTAAAGTTCCCAAGTTTGGAAACTCCTGCCTTAGGATTTGCAGACTCTTCTTCCCTTGGAGTCTTTAAACAGAGGCTGGGCAGAATTTGGCATGGATACAGCCGCAGTTGAAGCTTGTCCCGCAGTTCTTATAATGACCAAATAAACCTTTTTCTTAAAAAACAAATCAAAACACTGTGCTTCTCTGTGGTGTTTAAGACATTTAATAAATTAAATTAAGACCACATTGTAGCCCAAAGCTTTCAAGAACAAAATAACGTACAGTGAAATCCATAGTTTAAACCAGCATGGATAAATATCGTAATTAGACATTAGCTTAAAAACCTTTCCACATTATTTTGTCATATTCTTACTCCCACCCATCGCTTTCTGCTGGGCAAGTTATTTTATTTTATCATTTCATCCTTTTTAAACAAGAAGAAAAGAGCCAGCTAGGAGATTCAGATAAGGTCCAAGATGAAGGGAAGAACTGCACCCCCACCACCTATATTATTTTTGGCTTGAATAAGTGGAACTTTGGAGACAGCATCCTTGCTCCATATCTACCCCTTGCAGGGAATGCCAGAAAGCAGGCAACTCAGTAAATAAGCTTGAAGAACCAAAAATGAGCAAATTAAACGCGAAGAAACAAGTAGTCCCTGTAACTTTTAATACTGGTTAAAAACTATCCTTTTCTTAACTTTCAGCTTGACTGCTAGGCAGGCTACTTACAAGACAGCTTACTCATTGCTAGTTGTCTCTACTTGACTCGGAGAAGGAAGGGATGCTGGCGTTTGCTTAAAGTTCGGTTTCCAATCTGTGTTTCGAATGGGTTTTCTTTGGTCTTCAGAGAGTACGAAACCTGGGTCCCGCAGTCACTATAATGTCGGCGTAAGGAGCCGACTGGGCCAGCTCAATCGCTCGTTGTTTCTGGAGAACCAGCAAGCTGTAGAAGTTCTCTGCCACCTCTTTCTTGTTCTGGTCCTTGCAGAGGGAGAGAAAGCTGAAGGACTTTGCACCTTGCTGTTCGAAGTGCTGCGGGGGGAGAACGAAGGAACGGAATAACTGAGATGGGTGTGTATTAAGAGCGGAGGCTAATTCTGCATCTGAAGGAGGCAAGAAGCAGCTTTAGGAGAGAGGCTGTGTGCCTTTGGCAGTTCGTACAGACTAAGAACGGGCAATAGGAAAATGGGATAGAGAGTGTAAGATGGAAGAAGAAATGTGCAGAATTGGAAACCAAGCCCTATATTGTCAAGCATGTAGCCACAAGGGGCAATCCACTGACTGAATCCACTCCCACCCTCTTGTCCTCCCAGAGTGACCCGAAGTCCTGGCTCTGCCAACTGATTTAGAGCCCAGAGGGGGATGTTCCACTCTGAAGGTGGTTCATAGATTAGATGGTCCATCTCCATCCTGGTTATGTGTTGGCCCACTCGGCTCTCCATTGGAATGTTTTAATTTGTAACGCTTCATGTTTTAATATTTTTGTCCTAATTGTATTAGGGTATGGGGCTTCTTATATACACAGGTTGTGCTAGACGTACGACCACAATGGGGCCCAGAATTTATGTTGTTAAGCAAGACAGTTGTTAAGTGACTTTTGCCCCATTCCATGGCCTTTTTTGGCCACAGTTGGTTAAGTGAATCACTGCAGTTGTTAAGGTAGCAACATGGTTGTGAAGGTTTCGACTTTGCTTGTCAAAAGGACACAAAAGGTGACTGCATGATCCCTGGGAAACTGCAACTGCCATAAACCAAGGTACCGTATTTTTCGGAGTATAAGACGCACCGAGGTTTTGAAGAGGATTTTTTTTTTAAAAAAAAGTTTTTGCACTCTCCAAACCTCCCAAAACCAGCCCGTTTTCTATGAAAGGGCATGTTTAGGAGGCTTGTAGAGTGCTCCTGGGGGGTGGGTGGAGGGGGGCAAAAATGAGCAAAAAACAGCCCATTTTTCACAAAAATGGGCCCATTTTTCACAAAAATGGGCCCATTTTTCATCAAAAAGGTCATGGAAGCTTATAGAGTGCTGCTGGGGGCTGGAGGGGGGCAAAAAGTGGGGCATTCTTGCTCATTTCTGCCCTCCCCAGCCCCCAGGAGCATTCTGGAAGCTTTCTAGAGGCTCTGCACGGCCATTTTGGTGAAGGGGCGGAGTTTCGGGAGGCAAAAAATGCTGTATTCAGTGTATAAGACGCACCCAGATTTTCAGTCTCTTTTTTGAGGGGAAAAAGGTGTGTCTTATACTCTGAAAAATACCGTCGTTACCAAGCCTTCAACCACAATCACATGACCATGGGGATGCTGCAACAACAATTAAGTTTGAAAAACAACCACAAGTCACTCTTTTTGGTGCCTTTGTAACTTTGAACCTTCACATTCGAAGGAAAAAGTGACTTATGACAATTTTTCACGACTGTCGCAGCATCCCCATGTCACACGATCCAAGTTCAGACACTTAACAACGGGATATATTTATGACAGTTACAGTGTCCCAAAGTCTATTTTGGGGACTTTCTAGCAAAACAACAACAAAAAGCCAGATTCACTTAACACACCTGTTACTAACTTAACTGTTGCAAGAAAGGTCAAACAATGGAGCAAAACTCACTCAACAACCATCTGGCTTAGCAGCAGAAATTTTGGACTCAATTGTGGTCGTAAGTCGAGGACTACTTGTATGAATATCCGAAGAGATCAGCAAATCTTTTCAACCGAATATTGGGGAAAGGGAAGCGCAAGTCAGCTGGCATTAAGATAAATTATCCTTTTTTGCCCTTTTGATTGTCAGTTCAGAAAAAAGCAGGATAAGGATGAGTCACTGGCAGTTTAGGCATAAGAGCTGGCTAGAATTACGGCCTGGTACAAATGATAAAGACCTTAACGTGAGGTTGGATTATATTTTTAAAAGGCGCTATCTGCCATTTCATGAAGAGCTTTGGCTTGAGCCTGGGGTACAGCAAAGAGGATGATTTTACAGAAATAGAATGGCAGATCTGACAAATATCCTCTTGATTTCAAGGAACAGATTCGGGATGTGCATCTGGTTGGGGTTTTTTTTTTAAAATTCTTTGTGGCCTAAACTGAGAAGATGAAGCAATGTGTTTTTTAGATTTAATCATATGATTAAATATCTAATGTATTTATATTAATATGTCCATCGATATTATATAGGTTTTTTCTCTCATTGTTTCTGCCTTTTCCTAACTCACATTTAATTTGCTTTAATAACTAATCAAGGAGAGAAGCAGCTTAGAACTAAGGAGAAATTTCCTGACAGAACAATTAATCAGTGGAACAACTTGCCTCCAGAAGTTGTGAATGCTCCAACACTGGAAGTTTTTCCTTTATTCTTAATCAACATATATTTGTTTTTTTCTGTCTGTTTTCTATATGTTACTATTATACATTTTTAAAAAGTTTCACGTCCTTTTAAACTGCAGTTATCAGGCCATTTCAGTGATAAAATAACATATGAAGAAAAGTTTATTATGTTTGATAATATCTTACCCGGAAAGTATTTAATAGCTTTAATGTTCTCTTACTTCTTCTTTGTTCTTCATTGTCCAAATTACTTGTCAGGGATCCCTATATCGCAGATCAAAAAATTACTTATTGATAAAATTCACCTGAATGAAGATAAAAGGCAGCATAAAAAATAAGAATAGACATAGCTCATATATGACGTCCCAAGCTTTGTCACCACCCTTTCTAGGAAATTTCACTATGAACATTTGTTCTACTTAATTGATTTGGCAAACCAGACCACATAACTAAATTTTCTATGCTTTAATAAAGTTGATTAAATGTATCAGCAAAACTGTCCATAGAACACAGAACTATCAGAGGCGTTATTTAATTTTTTTAATTATATTTGATTATTCTTAAAGGACTTTTTTTTAAATAAAAAAATGAAATAACTTACAAACATAACAAGCAAAGAATAATGCAAATCGGATTCAAATAAAAAGTACCCAATTAAAATTTTATTATTCTACTGATATTGCCAGCTGAGCAAACAAACTCATAAAGTATCAGAAACATAAAATTCTCTAAGAAAACATACCCACCCAAAAGACACTTTTCCCATGGTGCCTCTTGGCCACTCTTCCTAGGCTGCATTTCTCATGTACCCGCCCTGACCCTCATGGTGACCCTTCGGCATCACTTGCTCCCTCCCCAACCTGCACCCCACACCTTACTATGAAGCCCCTCCCACACACTCTTGCACCTTTGCACACACCCTGCCCCTCTCTAGTGCTCTCCTGTACATCCTTCCCCATCCTCCGCCCCCCCACTTCCCCCCCCCCATCTAGCATCAGTCACCTGTGGGCCTGGGTCATGCAACTTCCTATTAGCTTCCCCACTGACTTTGGTTGTGGGAAGCGATCAGAAAGTTGCATTGCCTAACGTTGGGATTGATGATACCGTGTTTCCCCCCAAAATAAGAGTGATTATTATATTAATCAATCTTATTAACAGGTCGTATTAATTTTATTAACGGGTCTTATATTAATTTTTGCTCCAAAAGACGCATTAGGGCTTATTTTCCAGTTTGGTCTTATTTTCAGGGAAATGTGGTACTAAATGCACGATCTTAACTGGGGCTTATTTGGGGGGTAGGGTTTATATTACAAGCAACCTGAAAAATCATGCTAGTGGTTATTTTTCCAGCTGGGTCTTATTTTCAGGGAAATAGGGTAGCAGCTGCACGGAGTGCTAAGCTTAGTGACGGACAGAAAGAAGGGTTAGGGAGAGGTATTTGGGTGGGGGGGATACTTACCCCAGTGATTTGCGATCTTCCCTGCTGGCTTCTCCTTTTGAGTTTCTGGGGAAGCCGCAGTGGTGGGATTCAAATAATTTAACAACCGGTTCTCTGCCCTAATGATTTCTGCGAACTATCAGTTTACCAAACTGCTCAGAAAGTTAACTACTGGTTCTGCTGAAGTGCCAAATATCCAGACTGCAATCATGGGACTGCAGGGGGATGCTGGGGTGGCCAGAACTCCAAGGACCGATCTTAAACCACCTTTCATCTAGTGCTGTCTTCACTTCCAACGGCACTGAATGAACGGCTGTAACTCGAGGACTAGCTGGAAGGGAAAGGTCTTTGAAATATTTTTTTTTCCCATTCAAAAAAAAAAAGAGTAGTGTAAGTAGGTTAACCCCCCGCCCCCTTCCCCCAGGTCCATTGTCCAGATTCAGACTGTCCCACAAGTGCTACATGGTCCCTATTCGGTAGAGAAGTTTAGACGATTGTAATCATTACATTTTGCAAGACTGCTTGCTCATTTTCGGATTCTTGTTGTACTGAAGATAACGATACAAGGTCATCAGACAAAGCAGGCACTTCGTTAACTGATTCCTGGTATTAAAAGAAGAGGGAGGGGGGAATGGATCTGTGTCAGCTCTGCTCTGTTCTGCTCCTGTGTTTATTATTCTGCAGAAAATGAATGGTTAAAAGTCTGCATTTCTCTGCTGAATTTTGTTATTTCACAAAGAGAAAGAAATCATGAGAAAATAATGGAAGGGTACAAACACGACAACCCTATTGCAAACAATTCGGTTTCAGGCAATTCTTAATTAGAAATACAGAATAGTATGAGTAGAATAGAATGAGCTGGAAGAGACCTTGGAGGTCCTCTAGTCCAACCCCCTGCTCAAGCAGGAGAACCTATACCTGTGATGGTGAGCCTTTTGTGGCTCGAGTGCCAAAAGCGGGGGGAGGGCAGGGAGGTTGTGCATGGGCCATAATACTATGCGCACAACCCCAGCGCACATGCACACACGACCAGCACCCCCCCCATTTTTGGCGTGCTTTTTTCTCCCTCCCCAGGCTCCAGAGGTTTTATATGAGTCTGGGGAGGGCGAAAACAGCCTCCCCCCCCCCCCAAGGCCCTCCCTGAAGCCTCTGGAGTGCGAAAAATCGGCCCTATGGGCAAACCAGAAGTTCAGGAACGGACTTCCGGTTTGCTTATAAGACCGTTCCCCCCCCCCCCCCCTGGAGCCTTCAGGGAAGCCTCCTGAAGGCTCCGGAGGGCTAAAACTGGCCTTACGAACAAACCGGAAGTATGTTTCCGAACTTCCGGTTTGCTGGGTAGGGGCGTGTTTTTCACGCTCTGGAGGCTTCAAGGAAACTTCTGGAGGGCAAAAAATGGCCTCAAAAGAAGGCCGAAGTCAGCTGGCGTGCCCTGACAAATGGCTCTGCGTGCCATCATGGACTTATACCATTATCAGTCCCTTATTAAAAGTCTCCAGTGTTGGAGCGCTGGTAGATTGCTCTCATTATTAGGAAGTTTCTCCTTAATTCCAGGTTGATGGTCTCCTTAAACAGTTTCTTGTCTTTCCTTCAGGTGCTTTGGAAAATAAGTTGACCCCCTCTTTTTTGTGGAAGCCCCTCAAACACTGGAATACTGCTATTATGTCACCCCAACTCTTCTTCTCTTTAGACTAGCCAAAACCACATCCTGCAGCCACTCTTTTGACTGAGTCCCCCACCCCCCATAAAAATTCTCCTTCAGTATATGGAGAGTGTTGAACACTTGAGAGACCGCCTCCTGCCAATTACCTCCCTGCGACCAATTAGATCACATAGATTAGGCCTCCTCCGAGTTCCATCCGCCAGTCAGTGTCGACTGGCAACTACACGGAGGAGAGCCTTTTCAGTAGTAGCTCCGACCCTTTGGAACGATCTCCCCATGGAGATTCGTACCCTCACCTCACCACAGTCCAGACCTTCCACACAGCCCTTAAGATCTGGCTATCCTGTCAGGCCTGGGGATAAAGATTATAATCCGTCCCCACCCGAATGAT